GAGGGGGGGCCGTGCCCGTGGCAGGTGGGATTTATCCTGCAGGAGCTGCGGAAAAGGGGGAAGGCCTTGGAATCCACCAGGAAGCAAAGCAGGAAGGTGGCCCCGGGAGAGCCTGGGGATCCCGGGAATCCCGCAGGGCAGCAGCGGCCCCGCCGGGAGCCGCTCGCTCCCCTCCTGCCGCCCGTAATCTTAATTGCTGCAGGCGGGATGTTTGCTCAGGCCGGCGCTTCCTCCTCCCTCCCTGCCTCCGTGCCAGCGCGCCGGCGGGCAGGAACGCGCTGGACGGGGATCCCGGCCCCGCTTCCCGCCGGGCCGCACACGTCTTTGGAAGCCCCTACACATGTTATTCCCGCGACACGGATCCAGCGGGGGGCATTAGTGAAATACAAATCTCAAACCAGCCCCATTGCTCCGGTGCCTCAAATCCCAACTGGGCTCCCGACACGGCAGCGGCTCCCAGGGGAGGGACCCCAAGGGCAGCACCCGCGTTTGGGAGCAGCCGTGGGGCCGGGCGGGCACAGGGGGTGTCACCCCCTCGGGCGCGGGTGACGCGGGCCGGGCACGGAGCGCAGGGAGCCGCCGTGTTTGCTGTTCCCTCGCTAATGCCCTGCTCTTGGCTGCTCTCGGCCCCGGCTTTTGTCTCCCGGGATTAGGCTGGGAAGTCACAGCGGGTCAGTGCCAGGAAGCGGCACCTCGGGGACGCAGGGAGCTCCCTGCTCCACTGCCCGGCTGCACGCGGGATGATCCCAGCTCCAGAGAGGCTCCCTGCAGGAGCCCCGGCACGCTCCGCGGCGTTCCCAGTGCCAGGGCCGCGCTCTGTGGCACTCCCGGTGCCGGGGCTGTGCTCCATGGTGCTGGGGCTGCGCTCCGCGGCATTCCCGGTGCCGGGGCTGCGCTCCGCGGCGGGGCCGGCTGCCCGCGGTGCCTTTCGCAACGCTCCTTTCCCACAGCGGCTGCCACCAAGAAATGCAAATCCAGCGGGTTCCCGCGCCACATGCAAATAATCCACACGGAGCAGGACCCGGAGCGTGGGAGCCACGCAGACCCCGCGCCGGAGCGGCTCCCCTGGCCCCACAGGGATGCCTGGGACCCAAACTCAGCCTTTCTGAGCCCAAAGGCGGGACGGGGGGCAGGAGGGGAGCCCCTGGCCTGGCCAGGGAAGGGAAAAGCCCCCGGGGGGAAGGTGCCCAACGGGCTCCGGCTCCGCGCTCTGACTCAGCCCTGAGTCACCGGCTCCTAAGGACACGTGGCCTCCGGGGACGCAGCGCTCGGCGCTGGCGGCTCACCCGGGCCTGGGGGCTCATCCCGACCCTTGCAGCCCATCCTAAACCTTGCAGCTCATCCCAATCCGGCTGCAGCCCCTTGGCCAGCCTGGGAGGCTGCAGGGCCAGGAGAAAGAGGGGCTGGGAATGGACACAAGCTGGGAAAGCCAGCAGCGGATTCCACATCTTCATCCTCCCTAAGGCCTTTTTCTGGGAGGATGAAAGGAAACCTCGAGCCATCCGGCGGCTGCGCCCCTACGGATCTGCCCCTTCGCACCTCGGCTTTGCCGGGATCTGTTCCCACCGGCAGCACCACCGCCCTGCACCAAAAAACAGGGAAAGACCCGAGCGTGTTTAGCAGTGCCCAGTTGTTTGCTCTTTAAATAATTGCTTTATCGCTATTTATTCAGATCGCTGAGAACTCGGCCAAACCGGCTGCTCTGGCGGCAGCGCCCGCAGCCCCGGTCCCGCGATCCCGGGGGTCCTGGCGGCTCCGGGCGCATCCCGGGGGTCGCGTCGCGGGCGGGTGCCGGGTGACGTCAGGGCGCAGCCGGCAGCCGCGGCGGTAATTGAGGAAACGCGGCCAGCGCAAACACGGCCGATTAGATAAGGAGCGGGCGGCGGGGCCGGCGCTCCCCAGCGCCACGGGCCGGGGGTGCTCCCGTGGTGCCTCCTCCTCATCCCGGTGCTCTGCAGTTCCCGGGATGCACAGCCCACCCAGCTCCCTCTAACGGTGCCGGCTCCAGCTCCCCCCTGGCCCACGCCGGCATCAATAACCCCCTTCCGAGCAGCTTCCCGCAGCTCCCGCGGGACACAGGGATGTGCTGGCGTTCCGGGAACAGCAGCTGGGAAGCGGCCCTTGGCTTTTAAAGCCCGAGAGCCCAAGCAGGAGCTCCCATTTCTCCCTTCTTCCCCCTCAGCACAGGCTGCTTCCCTGCAGCAGGAGCTCGGGAAGAGCCGGGATCGCTGCACCACTGGAGTAGGGCTGAAGGAGCCTCCTCCATGGAAGCACCTCAGGCTATCGCAGCCCCGGGGCAGCCCAAGGTGTGAACGGAAAAAGGGAATAGGGACAAGGCTCCGGAGGTGGCGCCGGGAATAGGGCAGCACCAAACACGGCTGCTCCGCGCGCGCCTGCCGGCTGCTCCCGCGCCGCTTCCAGCGGAAAGCACACATGGGACATGAGGTTTCCTTAGATCAATTCTGTGTAACTGGGCATTTTCCAAGGAAAGCGCTGGCAGAACAAGGCGGTGAGAGAGGGGCAAAAAAAGCCAAGCTCTTAGCACCAGCAGTTCCTCCGGCTCCCTGTGTGGAAGTGGATGCACGGACACTTTTCCCCACGGACACAGATTTCTCCTTACTCAGCACGGCCTATTTTCCTGATTGCGCTTCTTACCCACTTTAGAGCGGATCCCCAAGGAGTTGGTGAGCTGGATTCAGATGCCGCCCTCAGCATCTTGCAGCCCATCGTGGCTCCATCCCGCACATGGGATGGGGAAATCTCCTTGGCAAACCAAAAAAGTCCCCTTCGTCCTGCGCCATGTCCGGCTCTTTTCCGGGCAGGCCATTCCCATCCCAACGCGCTCGGCACGGAGGGGACCGCGGGCTCGAGCAGCGCCAAGGAGGTGACAAGAGCAGCTCCGCGAGGCCTCAAGGCAGCTGCAATCACCCGGCTGCAGCACCCGCCGCGTCCTGACCCCAACGCAGCAGACTCAAAACCAGACCTTCGCCACCTTCAACGCACAAAGCCCCGGTCTCCTTAAAAACGGATCAATCCGAAAAGGAGGAAAAGCCAACCCAAACAGCCCATAGGCGACGGCAGCAGCTATTTGCCTTGGCCTCCTGCCTCGCCGCCTTGCACCACACCCCGCGCCCCGCGCGCGGCGTGGGACGACCTCCGCCGCAGCACCGGCGCCCGCTGAGACGGCGTGCGAAGGAAGGTGTGATCACATTGTCCTGCTCTGATGAGCTCCTGACAGGTTGCAACCCTAAAGGCAAACAGATCCCTTCGAGCAAATAGCCAGTAACTGAAAAGGGAGGAAGGGGAGGCCACGTGAACCTCTCCAAACAGTGAACGGTTTTAACGACACCCGCGAGCGCCTGGCTCAAGGGTTGCTTTCACTGCCGGGCCCAGGATAAGCACGGCAGGCGCGGGGAGCGGGCGGCTGTTCCCGGACAGCCTCTGGACAAGCTCTGGCAGCCCATGGAAAGCTCCCGGCGCTTATTCAAAGGTGTGACACGCACAGAGGCTGCTCACAAGGACTGGTGACACGGTCACACGTGAGCCAAAGAGCAGCTTGGGCTACGCTGCTCCCAAACAGATTCCCCAGGCAAATTCCCAGGCTTGGCGCCCTGGGCCGTGGCAGCTGCCTTGGGAAACGCGGAGCTGTGCCTGCTGGGCGCTGCGCGCGGAGCCGCAGGGTGCTGTGCGGATGCGCGGGGAGCTCCGGGCCCTCCCGCGCCGCCACCCGCCAGCACCACGGGGCAAAACCCCGCCACGGAGCGGACAAGCGACGGGGCGCTGCGGAGCGCCGCGGCTCCCCGAGCTGCGCGCAGGCGGCCGCGCTCCGGGCGCCGATCCCAACGCCCGGCCCGGCTCTCACCTCACGCCTCGCAGCAGCTACCGGCCCGTGGCTCCTTCCCAGGCGGATCCACACGGTCCCCCTCTCTCCCACGCTTGGGATGCAACCGTCTGGACCAGACCGTTGGTCTGATGAACCCAAGACATGCCCAGTTTCTTCCTTTCCAAGCGTGCGGGCAAAGGCAGGACTGCATGGCCCGGAGAGGTGTCTTCACATCTGCAAACACCTCAGAAACGTGAACGGAAAGGGTACGTCTAGCTACGAGATCAGAGGGTTGGGACATTTTGGTGCTTCAATAAAACTCTCAACAGCTACAGAACATTTTTTTCTGTGTTAATTTAATCATACAAATATTCATTTATACATTAAGGAAAAAGCTTCCTTTTTATGTTTCCTCCCGATGTGCCATCACAGGACTTCTCCCGACCGGACAACAGAGCGCCCTGCTCTGCACGTGCGCTGGCGCCGCGAGCAGGGACGGGCCGCACAACCACCCACTCACTCACACACGGGCAAACAGGACCGGGAGGACGCAGGGGCGGCGGGCGCGGGACAGCGCGTGTTCCCGAAGCCTGCGCCGCCGTGTGTCCCACCGTGCGGACACCCGCGGGGCGGCATCCGACTGCCCCGAGCCAGGGCTCCCTCCTCCGGCTGGCTCGTCCTGGGCACACTGCGGCTCAGACGGGGGGCCAGGTACCAGGGGCTGCTTGGCCACGAGGCTCCACATCCCAAACGGCTCCTGCTTCACACGAGGGTCTGCTCTGGAGACCACGGCAAGTGGAAGGTCCTGCTTTCTCTCCCCCTTCTTGAGCTCAGGGCACAAGTTTCCTCTGCCGCTGCTTCTCCAGTCCCGAACCAGTTACTTCCTCTAACAGGCCTAAGAGTTCCATGTGCTCAGTTGAGTTACCCGAGCTGTTCCATGCAACAGAAGCCCGTGCTCGCCAAAAAATTGGCGTTCAGCACCTTGTAGAACCAGGTCACCTTCACGTACCCAACGCTGGACTCCACGGGTCTGAAGGCGTCGGACCCAGATCAGCCCATGCAGCCAGTGCCCTGAAGGCACCTGCAAAGAGCGCTTCTGAGCGCAGCTCCGCGGCCCCTTCTGCAAAGTTGGAAACCTGACAGTTTGGGGCCAGCTGCACCACGAGCAGACAAAACCACCTTTGGCCTCTGTGAAACAGCTCTGACCAGAGGAAAAACCCAGAGAGGGAGGGCAGCCGCCCATTTAAATCTTCTCTCAGCCTCACAGCAGGACTTACAACCCAGAGCCTCAACCTCACGGGCCACGTGCGGACACAGGGAACACAATGTGAGCAGCACGAGACTGCAGGCGCCCCGCCGGCCTTCACCCCTTGGCGTGAGCGACGCTCGTCACGAGGACATCACGGGCTGCGGACGCTCGGGAGCCACTTCAGACCTTGCAGGAGAGCCGGCCCGCCAGGCAGGAGCACGGGAACCAGGCGCAGCTGGAGCGGGAGCGCAGGAACCAGGCGCAGCCGTTCCCCAGGGAGCAGCACGCGGGCTGGGAGCAGAAGGAAGCTGCAACGGAGGTGCCCGAGGGTCTGCGATCGCTCTGCTGATGCGATGCCAGGGCTGCTGCACCAGCGATGTGCGCCCCAGGCTTTCTCTTCCCACTTTCTCTCCTTCCTGGCTGCCGAAAGGAGCTGACAAAGATGAGGAATCCCCTTGTTGTGTGGACAAACACCAGACTCCAGCGCAGCGAGCGCCTCCGGCAGGGAAGCGGCAGCGCTCCAGGCGGGGTTTTCCTGCCTTCAGAGCTACTCACTGCAGCCTGCTGCTCACGGAGGGAGCACAGAAGGAATCCACTTGCCCGTGCTAGACTATGATGATGCAAACCATTCCCTGGATACAGCTACTGAGAGGAGACCGCTTTTCTGGGACAAAAAGACCTTTGCAGGACAAGAACCAAGCACCGCAGCTGCACTAGCACGTGCAGCTCCACCTTCCACGTTTGCATTTCAGAGCAGTTCGCTCTGCATCTGCACCAGCTCCAGCAAAGTGCCAGGCCTGCCAAGCCACGGGTGCTGAGCAGGCCAAATTTCTTTCCTGGAGATAACTTCTTACATTCAACCTGCTTCCCCCTGCAAAAAAACCTGAAGGGAGACTTCAGATAACACGGTGCCCTTCAGCAACCAAACCTCTGAAATACAAACAGGATCTATCAGCTTTTTCCATGGAATTAAGAGCAAGGAGTTACCCTGCCTGCAGCTGCAGCATCTTAGCGTTTTCCCCAAGGTCCAGCTTCTCCCTCTGCTAGATATAACGGATCTGGCCTCTTAAAAGATCCCTCCGTGTGCACTAAGAAGATAAGAGTCCTCAGCAGCTGAGCCACAAATGAATTCCCTCTTCAAAACCATCCAAGAAAAAACAATCCATGAGGAGTAACCAGCCCAAAGCCACGCAAGCAGGCGCTGCTCCTGGGAAGGAGACCGTGCTGGAAAGGTCTGAAAGGTGGTGGCTCCGGGGGGCTTTGCATACGACTTTATCTTTGGCAGACGGCTGCTCCGGCCTTGTTCAAGTATGCGGGGGGGCCCGGGCCCCTCACCTTGCTGCAGGAGGAGCGGGGCAGCGAAGCGGCCCCGCGGAGCCCACGCGCACGGGGGGAGCCTCACAAGAGCGACGCGCTGAAGATCAAGGCAAATGAACACAAGGCGATGCAGAATGCAGCCGATGATGCTAGCGCTTGCTCTACATTCAAAACCGCAATGAATCAGCCTCCGCTCGCTACGCTAATACTTTAGCACGGGAGAAAGGAATTGAAACTTATTCCGTGCAAGAGAGACAGGGGCGGAAGATTCGAAACTAAAGGGACAGGACTCAGGTGAAGCTTTGCAACTACTGTCGAGTGAATTACGCCCGCAGAGAGTTTCCTCTTGGCACGAGACTGACACGCTTGCTTGGTTGTTCCAGGCACAGCTACTGTACAGGGTTAACAAAAAAGGTATTTTAAAATGCTAACCACATAGGACAGCTCGGGAACTTTAATAAATCTTTCTTGTTAACACGGGTGCCTATTTACGAGTACTTCACGTACACGGGAAGAGAAATGAGCTCCCCATGTAACCTTAAGCCAGGCCCAGAGTTCTCTACCTGTGACACCGAGACCTTGTTTCAGCACCGTTTCCAGTGACAAGCAGGACAATCACCAGCAACACCCAAACCAAAAGGAAAAAACAACAGAAGAGTTAACAGAAGATGACAAAGTCGTAACTAAAACCAGCAGGTGCCATTAAAACGAGGAGCTGGGCGAAGACCCACTCATTAAAAACGTCCAACAAAAGTCACTGCACAAACCCCAGAAGAGGCTAAACTCCCATTCGGCAGCAAGCAAAACATGACAGTTCCATAAAAATGCACGCTGTCCCTTATTAAAAAAATACGAACAGGAAACAAACAAAAATTAAACATTTGCTCAAACTACAACCGCTCTGTAAGCAAAATATTTTTTTTTTCTCAAAGATGGCTTTTTCATTTTAATTTTTAAAACTTTAAGCTACCTAATTATGTGAGAATGACTTCTAAAAAAAAAAAAAAAGGTGTTGGTATATTTTTCTTTCTCATAGCATTAAACAACACTCCTGAAACTCAGCATTCACACATGCATACTCAGATTTTGCATTTTCCTCTGGAAACAGCTAGTCTTAAGTTATTGGGTTTTTTGTTTTCTTCTTTACGCAGGACACGGAGGCAGAGAAGGGGGCTCCACGTTGTGTCTGTTTGCACGTGAATCCCCCTCCCTTCCCCATTAGTCAGTTCCTTGTTAAATTCTCCTCTTGCCGATACCCGTTTTTTTGTGTGTGTTTTAAGACTGTCCGAAGGGATAAGGACCGTGGAAACCCTGAAAGAAAGTTGGAGACATAATCAATTTCAATACGCAAGAAATAAATCTAATTAGTGTACGTCCCCAATTAGTGTATGCCCCCAGATCCTGACCATCCCATCCCAGTGCTCCCAATGAAACCCTCTCCCCACCACGGGAGTCACCTCTAGGAAACTCTTTAGGCATCAGGGTCAGAGCTTGTGCTTGGTCTCCTTAGAGAACCACTTACCTCTTCCAGCTGTTATTTAGGTCAGACAACAGCCAGAAAAACTGTTTTTCAGCTGTTACTGGCCCCAGGGTACTGGCCCCCCACTTGCTGCTCTGGCAAGGCAAGGCTATGCGTTTTCTTCTAACGAAACCCAACCACGTCCAATCAACAAACTTACTATGCAATCCGTTTCCTTTACGTTGTCAGGCGAAGGACCTAAATGCCAGATCTAGTAACAGGTCCCAAATCAAGAGGCCCAAATCAACAAGCCCTCTTTTCTGTAAATCCTAATGTTCAAACGACCTATTGAGTATTTCATCAGGGAGCAAAAGAAAGAGCGAAAGGAAGGCGAGAGATCCAAGTCACAGAGACACAAAGCTGGATGGAACAGATGAAGACACCACCCAAAGGACCGTTAGATCCATCTGTGCGCCCGGGTCAGAAGCAGGGAAGAGCTCCTTAGATTTCTCATTAGATTTTCCCGAGCAAAACTGCAAGAAATCCCAGTAACCGCTTCTCAACGGCGTTCCCGTTTTGCTGCAAAGTGCAGCCGTGCTGCGTGAGCCGCACGGCGACGAGGCTGTACCACGACTCCCTGCAGAAAGCCCGCAATTGCGCTGCTTTAGTGCAAAGCCCCAGGTTCAGCAGCTCTATTTTACCCAAGTTGTAAACTTGGTAAGTGCTAGAGGAGCCTACGGTTTTGCTGCAGCTAGTGAGAAAAGGCTTCACCCCTTAGGATTTACTGTACAGCAGTACAGGGCAGTAGCAAAATTGAGCACCCCCAGAGTCACTCAAAATGCAGCACGGGGCAAGGATTCACAGATTATTAAGCAGGACACCTGCAAACTGATGTTTCTGCTTCAGGAAGCAGATCGCAGAAGGAGAGTTGGGCTCCGAAAGCAGCAGTTCCCATTGAAAGGGGGAACATTTCTGAGCAAGTCCCTGGAATGGGAAGAGCAGAGGAGACAGTGCACTTAAATAACAGGCAAGCGACATCAACAGCAGCAGCCGCGGGACACAGCAGGAAAACGGCGTCCGAAAACAACGTCAGGAACAAGATCCGAAGCGGCCTCCTCCCCCAGGGCTGGAGCTATTGCAGCTGCCCGCTCCGCACGGGAAAAACAGCATTTGTTGCCCATCACCTACAGAGATGCATGTGACCCCAGGCGCCGCTCTTCGCAGACCATCAGCTTCCTCGCAGCCCTGCCACACGGCACTGAAGTGTTTGGGGACGGGATGCCGGGCCGGTCAGCCAAGCAAGGCAGACACGAGCTCCTCACCCTCCTTGTCACACCGAGAACCCCCCAGAGCGCCTCTTAACCTCATTTTCAGTGAAAAAAACCAACTTCCTCTGGGTCTTCCAATATCATTTTCCGACATATCTAATTCAAAGCTTCCCAGCTCTGCCAACACTATGTTAGTTAAAAGCTGGATTTAGCTCCCCTTCTGTGCCATCTTCCTAGGCAGGCAGTTTGGAACCACGTGGCACCAAGCAGGGTGGCATCTCCAGGGGAGCTGCGGCCACCACATCAGCCCCAAGAGCAGCCTGGGCACGTGGCTCAAGGGAGCTTCTTTTAGCACGTGAATTCCCCCAAAAAAGCAGCCCTGGGTCTTTGCTCCTGGGGATCATCACATGCAACACAAAGGAACTCTGCTCTGCACCTCATTTACCCAGGAGATTTACTACTGTGCATAAGAAATTAGGATTTTTTTAGAAATTCACTTCCTTTCTTTAAGATCAGGAGCAGATTTGGTTTTACATAATATTCCACCTGCCTAAAAAGGTACAAATCTCCTGCACTGGGGCAAAAAATGTTTATATTAACATTCCATTGCAGATGCTTGCAGTGACCTGTCCTATCTGCAACATCCCTGAGCAAGAAACCCTTAATCACCTCTGTAAATTGAGAACACTTTTTCTTGCTCTTATTCACCTGATCCAGCTGGGACTGCAAGCTCTGGCAGCGGGAATCATTTCCGATAGGTTTTCAACCTGTAACAGTGTCGTGATACCTGACAACTTTGGCTATTTACTGCTATTGCTGCAGTAAATCTCCACCATGAGGCATCGCCAAGAATCATCATCCCAGCACGCAGGTCTTTACGCCATAAACGTGAGAAAACCTACACACAACTGCAGTTTTCCTGAATTATTTCAGCTGAGAATCACACTATTTTTGGCAATTCCCTTCTACTCTCAAAGCAAAATCCCTCTTTTTAACAGAAGCTCAACTGCAGCTTTGCCAATTTTCTTTTAGTTCTTCCATCATCTTCCACAGCAGTAATTGCTAAGATGCTACTGGAAACACACTGGATATTCAGAGAGATAAATGCATGAGGAGAGAGGATCATGTTTTTCAAGAGAAGACTCAATGTGAAAATTATTGCTATAAATCACCATTCGACTGCAGTGTTCAAAAGGAAATTGAGCTTTTGGAAGCCCAAGGCCTTTGCAAAGGCCGGGCTCTTCCCACACCTTCAAGCAGGCACCGGTGTGGGAAGGAAGGCGCAACCCGCCCATCAAAAACAGCCGGGGCTCTCAGGGCACCGCCTGGTGAGGACCTCCCCAACAACAAGAGCCCCAGCTGCTTTCCCAGCGGAGTGGCTATTAAAGACCCTTTTTAGCTGACATGGAAATACAACCACGATGAAGTGAACCTTGCAGAAACCATGACACCACAGGCTTTCCAAGAGCTCTCTTTATTTCACCTTCGTGGCCGAGGTACAACTCGGAGGCAGGAGGCCGCTGCAAAGCGATACAGGATGCGGGGCTAACGCCTGTGCCCACTGAACACGGGCACAAAACGCCGCTGGCTCCGTCGCCGTCGTTTATTTAATTGCACGCATGCTGGGCGAACACGGGGTGCCAGTGAAGGCCACCTGAACACGAGGCAGCGTCTCCACGAGCGGCTGCTCTTACGGTTTAGATGCAGGAACCGATCAGGGACACGAGGGTTTAGGTACACGGTTAAGTCCCCATGCAACAACTCAGCTGCTGTAACTTAAGCAACCGCAGGCTTTTAGTCCATGGAGATTGAAGAGGAGGGAAACTGCCACTCTACACTGGGGCAAAGTTAAGCTAAAAGTCACATTATCGCCCATTTCCCACAGTCCAAGAGCACGTGGGCTGCTGGTTTTCATGGATGGGCTAACATGCAGCATCCAAGCACACCAGTGTTTTACCAAAAAAGCAAATCAGCTCATGCAGCATCAGTTTGGCCTGCAGACACCATGCGGCAGTGCGGCTGGCCAAGAGCAGCAGTGGGAGCTTCGAGTCCTGACTTTCTTCAACTTTGCTCACCATGAGTTGAGCCCTGTGGTAACTAGCTCAGCTTAAAGCCCAGATACCGAGAAAGGAAAGCTTCTTCTACAGAGAAGATAAGGGAAAAGAAAAAAAAATGATTAAAAACATATTTCTGAGGCATCATCCTTACCCAAAGGTGTTTTGGTACTCAAACAGTTACTGGTGGAAAAAAAACCCGTCTCATCTTCGCAGAGGTGCTCCAAAAATACGTAAATCGAGGGCCCCCACTTGGAAGAAGCATCTCAGAGCAGCAGGAGCTTTGAAAATCAGCTGTGGGGCCAGTTAAAGGCTTAAAAGACAGAGGATTTTTGGTTTTCACTTAAAAGAAAACTGTCAAGTGGTAGGGATCAGAATTCAGCCGCACACAGAAGTAAGTAACATGGGGAGCGTAAATGCAGCAAGCAAGAACGCTAGGAACTGACCTTTGGGAACTCCATGTAGGTTTATATTTCAAGGGGCTTTTAAGAGTATTATAAGCAATGAATATTAATAAGTTAATATCCTCCACATAGTAGCATGTTCTTTATGGTAGCAACTATTTATTTTGTCCAGGTAAATCCTTGCAGAATCAGACCTTCTATGTACAGCTTTATATTCCCCAGAAAACAGCATTTCCTCAAAGCAGATGGGCGGGCAACTAAATTCCTCTACAGATTTAAATAGTTTCTCTTAATGCAAGTGACAAGCACACACAGCATGTCCATGCACAGCAATCTGCTTCAGCTCTTCTTAGAGGCACCAAAACCTGCAGATTTCTTTTCTTAGTTAAGAAATGTAACTGCGCAGGCATCAGACGACTACAACTTGTGCTTTTAATGTAGGAGACAGTCACAAGAGAGCAGCAGGGACCTCGGCAATGTTGCTATGAGACAGGAGCAAGTAAACAGAAGGAAGCTCCATTAGCCACATGTCTCTGGAGAGTACGGAGAGAAAGCGACTGCCAAACAGGAGAATAAAATACCCAGGCGTGGGCAGGTCTGCGCTCCAATACAGCACGTCCCTATCCTGAGATAAGCACGATACTGTACTTAAGAGTGCATTTGATTCTAAGAACAAGCAAAAACTATATTGGGAATGGATAGAAAACATGCTTAAAATGATGCCTTGAACACAGACCCTGACCCACAGTTCTCCAGAACATTATTGATAAGGTAAGCAGGGTGGACCGGGGAGCCACACGTCGGAGCAGGAATAAAGGCCACTTTCAACTTGTTTTGACTAGGTCACAGGTTTAATCTTATCTCTTCCTAGGGAATTCAACGTTGTTTTCTCATTCTTCTTTTTAAGGACGTCTATTCCACCGGGCACAGCACCCACGTCACGTTCTCCCTAGTTCTGTAGAACAGCATCCCGAGTGTTTCCCCTGCGAGACGTTCATACCCTTGTCTAACTCGGCAGCAGATGGCCCGGCAGTGTCAGAAATCCTGCTTGCACAGGGGAATTTTGGAGGACAAGTCACACCCGCTCAGCTCTTCTGGAGGGGGAACTCACCCCCGTTTGGCAGCTTCTGGCCTCTTTTACAGCTGCAATTTACCACCGGCTCCTATGGTGCCAGAAGCTACTAGTTTTGTCTCAAAAATGTTACAGTCTCGTGCAACTGCATAGTTTGGCTTCCCCAAGATCTCTCGGCAGAAGGGAAACCCCAGCAATGATTTGAGGAACACTTAACGGCTCATTTTACTCCTAACTCTGGCACGTTGCCTCTTCTGAACATCCTAACTCAACCTCACTGCTTTGCTGTTAAACACAACTGGGTATTCGCTCCATTCACCAGGCCCATGAAACCAGACACGAGTCCTACGGGTTCTGCCCACAGGCAGTGCAAACGAGGGCACACCAGCGTGCCACGACGTCAGCAGCCCCCCGAGCCTGCAGGTAACGTCTTCCACGTCCCCGCTCGCTGAGGAGGCAGCGGTTCGAACGCAGCAGCCTCCTTGCACGCCCAAGCAGCCGGGTGGCATCCAGCCCCTGGGCACGAGGTGGAACGGAACAGCCTAAGCAGATGGTGGGATGCAGCCTCTGCCAACGGGTACCCCAAACCATCTGCTGCTCAGGTGGGTTAGGGCTTCTACAGACACCCCTTCTCTGGTTAAGCTGGGAGATTCAGCTGGGGATATTGGTTACACATTTTCCCCTTGGAGCAGGGAAAAAAATAACTTCTTTTGCGGAAAGGCTTGCAGCTTGCAGGAAGAAGGCATGCAACAGGGCTGCATCTAAGCCATGCTCACCTGGCAATTCTGAAGGAGATCAAGTGTTTAGAGATCCAGCTGACCTGAGCCTTTCACTCCAAAGAGACCAGCCACAAATCTCAATGTGAGGACCAGCTGTGTGGCCAGATTCGTCCTGGCCTGGATGGACTGGGCAGGGCAGATTTGCTGCGCAAAGCACCTTGATCTTCAGAACTGCCTTAGTCATGTCCCCTACCGAAAAGAACTATTCTTATTTTGTCACCAACAGGAACCCTGCAGTGGAGACAGAAGCCTCAATAAATGGACCAGCCTTTAACCAACTCCACCTCCTCTCCAAAGAGGACTGAATTACCTCTCCTGAAGAAAGAGAGGAACAAAATCTCTGCTTTTGTCTCAGAAATTCTATCCAAAACCATCCCAAAACACTTAGTGAACACAAAAAGGAACAAGGAGCAAGAGAAAGGAGGTCACCTACCCTACACCCCAGGCTAGATTACAGTGACTCATAGCATAACAGTACGGAGTGAGAACTCCGAGTTATTACAGCCTGCATAAACGTAGTGAAATCATCATCTCAGTGCTTCACTCTCCTTGTGGCTTTTCTCCTCTCTGGCACAGCTGATATTTGCTATGCCCTGTGCGCCTCCAGCAGGTACAGGCTGCTTACACCCATGCTCCTTGAAAACACTCGTCCTCGGCAGCTGTGTCCACGCGCCTGCCCTTTTGGCACATGCTGCCCTCACTTCACTAGGAAGGGCACAGAAACCAACTGCAAGGAAAGAGACCTAGTGAAAACTGAAGGCCACGTTACTGCCCAAACCTGCACCCAGCACTTCTGCACAACCCTGTGGAAGGGCAATAGCAGCTCTGCATCCATCCCCCTGCAAGTGCAAATCAGCTATGGAGCAACTGCCAAGAGCGGCACCCATGGTAAACAAGCGAGTAGGGAAAAAAAGGCAAATTCAGCTTAAAGCTTAACAGCCAAGCTGGGACTTAATACTCCTACCTACATCAAACCTAGCACTTTAGCTATGAAGGGCTGTATTTGAGCAATGAAAGGTTAGGGAGTCCACTAGGTCACGAAAACCATCCCGTTTTTATCCTTCAGCTTCTCTCCGCGACCGCTGCGCCACGAGGGCTGTTACCAGCCCTTGCTGGGGTGCGCCCGGCAGACAGGAGCACAGCAGCCTTCCCCACAAGAAGCACCTGAGGGAGATCATTTTTTCACAGAGAGAAGCTGCATCAATATACGTGGCCTCAGCCAGGGCCTTTTGAGAAGTCACTGCTGTGAAAATGTGCACTGCTCCCCACAAGGGATTGCTGAACTTCCAGGCTCTGCTGATTTAGACAGGACAGGAGAAGGGCTTTATTTCTACCAGTTTCCTAAGCCGTTCATCTCATCTTCACTAAGTGAGAACCTCGAAGTGGGAGCCTTACAGAAGTCGATGTCTGAGGTGCAAAACATCGACGGGGTGATTGGGAGCCTGCCAAACAGTCACTCCCACGCATGCCATCAGTGAAAACCTAAAAACGCACAGCCCTGCTGCAAAGTAGGACACTAGAACATGATCCACTGATACAGGACAGGCAGGTTATCCAGTTAGGAACTATAGTGCTGTAGGTGAACTAATATTAGGGCTTTATTAAGTCATTCAGCAACCAAGTGTTATTGTCCTACACAGCCTGCTTAAAGTACAGTAAAGCGTTTTTAAAGGATTTTAAAATCAAACTATTTTGACATATGACAGTACACACCTACACATACCGGTTGCATTAACAGGTGGATTCTGAATTGTAAATAATCCTGCAATTCAATTTTCACACACAAGCAAATAAAAACAGTCAAAATATCACTCAGACTCATATAGCATCCATCAAGCAAGCTTTTTGAGAGAGATTTAAAGTAAGGATAATTTAAAAGCCACCTACAGATATAAACAAGACAAGGACACAGACAGGAACAATCCTTTGATTGATTATTCCTGACAGATAGATTCTGGGAGCAAAATGGTGAGCTCTGTAGTCTCCCCAGACCACTTAAAATGAAGTTGTCTCATTCATCTTCGGTTTTGGGAAGGGTGGTCTTTTTTTTTTAAAAGCCTTTTTAATGCAAAATTTGGAGCACAGCTAGAGAGATATTTTGACTTATTTGCACATGTAACCGGAGTCGGTTCCAGCCACTAATAGTTACAGCACCCAGACAAGATTATATAAACTTTAAGGATTTGAAGCAAAAACAAAAAAGGTGAATCTGGTAGAGTCTATCAGAGGCAAAGGTATTTTAATGTAACATGAGGAGTTGGCAGAGTCAGAGAGTCAAATTTGAAACCTTCCTTAGCAGGTCTGGCAGAAGCAGAAGGGAAGGGCTTTGCAGTTTGTAATGAAGACCTATGACACACAGAGCACAGTCTCATCACCTACCCATTCTCCTGTTCTCCCAGGGCACCTACCTTACTGTACGTCACTACCGACAAGTTGTTCGAGTGACTGCTGGGGGAGAGATTTACAGAGTTTTGTGACAGTCCATTCTGATCTTGTTCAATTTGGTCTGGAGCTGGCCCCCACGTGTTTTTGCTGATTGTGCCTAGCTCGGAACCCCCAGGGTCTTTTAGGTTGTTTTCATCTGGTTGCCTGTTCTTCTGTGGAGAGGCGAATGGGTTAAAGTTTCCTTCTACCTTGCGGTGCGGTTGTGTGTTGAACTCTGTCTCAAAGGATGAGAGCTGCTGTGTTACTCCTAGAAGTCCTCCAACCTCCACGCTGAGGATCACCCAGATGACATCTAGGGAAAGGGAAGGACATTCAGGTCATCGCAGAATAGAGCTTATGGAGAAAGGGAGAGAAGGGGAAAACAGAAGAGGGATTCCATCCTTTACAATTGCAGGAAAAAAAAAATAAGGAGAAAAACGTTTAGAAAATTTAATTAAAAATATAAAAAACCCCAAAAAACTACCAGGATCACATGCAACTGTACTTCAGATTGCCAATGGGAGGCACTGCAAAAGAAACCTCAAAGCAATTTTATCCAAGGGTGCACTATAAAACTGAGAGCACAAGGAATACCACTCTCAAACTTCTGCTCTGGGGGTACAAACCAATGTTTTTGGTTCGGTTTTGTTTTCTTCAATAGCCAAACCTTGCAAAAAGTCACTTAAAATGTAGTTAGTCTATGACAATTCAATCTGAAATAATATTTTGATTCTAGTTCCATCAAAAATACATTATGTGGACTAACTATCTGCGGGATATTACTATACCAACTTTCAACCTACTGGATAGAATAACAGCTATATGAACAAAGAAAATATTTACGCTCTTACCTATGCTTATCTGTGCCCTGTACATAAATACAATTATTCTAGTCACCATTTCATTCACACCACATGCAAAAAGTGTGGCTTATTTACATAAATTGCTTGACTTGTATCCAAATTCAGCGTTACTGCCTTTTTCCCCCCTCCATTAAACGTGCCCAGGTTTTGTGTCGCTGCGTGGAGAGGAAGAATCCAAACCAGCGGTGCCTTTCCTCACCTCGGCAGATCTGACAAGGGCACCCTGCGTCGCACAGAATGGAGCTCCCAGCTTTTCCGCAGGTAACGCTGGTCCGCACGGGGCTGCTCGGTGCTGCCGGCCCGGGCCGAGGCGCCGGCCGGGTCTTTGCCCGCTGCTTTCACCCTCATCGCCGGGGGAGCAGCTCGAATTCCCAAAGACCCTTCCCTCCGCTCACGGGGCTAATAACGCTGCCCTCGTTAATTTGCTCCTCACAAGGCAATTAAAGAGAGGCTACAGCCTTGCAAAACCCAGCAATGTTTGAGGACTCCCCCCAAATGCCGGCAAGGGTGGGAATCCCTAGGGAAAAGCGCAAGGCTCCCAAATCCTGCGGGAGGGAGCAGGCCGGGGGGGGGGGGGGGGGGGAGGCGCCACCCGCAGCGCTGCGGCGCCCCCTGCCGCCCACGCGCGGCGCCGCCGCCCGCGGCTCGTGGAAAACCCGCAAACCCCCCAAAAACAGAGCCCCAACCCGGCGGGCGGCGAAAGCTGCTGTTGAACGGGCAGATTCGCATTCGTTTGCCCTCAAAATATGTAATAGAAGTCACTGATTTCAAATGGTTTCTCCCTGTTCTGCCAAGGAAACCCGTTCCTCCAAGCAAAGCGCTGGTTCTGACTCGGAGCGTTCCTGCTTCCCGCTCAAGCCCATCTCCCAGCTGCCAGAACAGGCACAAAGTCTCCTGCTAGACACTGAACCTGCCTAAAAACGCCTGCAAAACTCCGAATGGAGAAAGATTTCAGGCTGAGGAACTACACAAAATATCATACACTGATTTTCTTTAAAATGTTCTATATAAAAATAACCTTTCTACAGTGAATGCAGCAGGTTAAACTTTAGAATCTGGGCCACTTCTTAACCAAACTTCTTAGACAGGGGTTTCATCACTCAAAAAGCTCTTACATCTGTATTTAGTTCACCATGTTCAGCACTGTGTAGCTCAGAAAGAGTCCGCAGGGGTAATGGTCTCAAGGAGACCCATCCATGTCCCTTCCTTCTCTAGCACTCTGTGTAACCTGCAGTTTGTCCCTGCAGAAACAGGGACAAACTGCAGGTTCTGCAGGTTCTAAAATCTGCAGAGTTTTAGAACAAACCTGGGCCGACCAAGAAAATGGAGCTCATTTAGCAAACACTAAGGTGTTTGCTCTATTTGCTATACTTAATCTCCGAGCTGGCAGGCTTCTGCCTTCTGTGTGTGGTCGGAGGTTACAGAACACACATCTCGTGTCCTTCAGGGTTCAAAGCAGTATCAGCCACTGGATTTCTAGAGCACTTCCAGACTGGAAACCAAGGACCTTCCCAGCGAGCTGCATCTTCCCAGACGGCAGCAATGAGCCAAGAGCCATTGCAGCAAGTCACACAAGGAAAGAGTATGGCTGAAATACCATTTGGGTATCAGGAGAGCGCCTGCAAGGAGCCAGCAGGAGCATCTCTGTTGCCTGGAACGGGCGCATTCCAAAGGGGAAGCACTCACCTCCATAATAGAGTCCGGTGGCCGTGCACATGCGCCACTGTCCCTGATACATCCCTGCCGTGCTGGGGCTGCACATCTGCACGCTGACATCCGCCATCTCCTGGGGCTCCAGGGACCTGACCATCACCATGTTGACGTGGCCAAACTGGTCTCCCCCAACATACTTCAGGCAAACCCCTGGGGGCCAGGCCTCCGTCCCTAGGGGTAAGCAGAAGGAAGGATTAATGACGGCGCACTAGGAGCAGCTTTCAGGCTGTATGGAAAGGGATAAAACGTCCTTATTAGAGCAGCTGTGCAACTGCTGAACACTCGGAGGGCCAGCAAGATGCACGCAACCTGCAAGGGATATATGGAAGAGTGCATTGTTCAACAAGACTGGTCCACTGTGCAACCAGCACGAGAATTCCCTTTTCCTCTTTAAAGAACTTCTAGCTCTTCTTTGCACAGGGAAAACCTCAAAGGCCCAGCAGTTACTCCGTGTAGCAACTGCAAAAATAAATAAATAAATCAGTGTAACCGATACTGACATTAACTTGGGAATACTGCTGCTTGCTTAAGGTTAGTGGAAACAGTTAAGGAAGGCCTGACCCACAGGAAGCTTGGAACAACTCTAAGTCTCTTCTGAGGCAAGGACAGTGGATGCTGATCGTTACCTAAGACGGCCTCAAAGGGTAGCCTATGCAAAAGCTTCCTTGCTCATTTAATCCCAGCAGATAGTTCAGGGAAGACATGGCAGGAGTTGGCTTTCTTGTCGAGTCCTGATGTGTGAAATTCACAGTCCAGCAGCGAGAGCGTGATACGAATAAACAACACGGGATATTTGGCACGGGGGATGCTGCTACAGTTGGAAGCAGTGCTGAGATAGGGAGGTCTCTGAAAGGGGAGCCGAGTGATTAACTGACCTCACACTGTAGCGTGTGGGAGTTGAGTGTGAAGTCTCATCTGAAAGGGTTGGCAGCCCAGCAACACGGTTCAGTTTAAATTATTTATGTGATTTTTATCAGTTTTAATGGCTTTAGGCTTGCAAGGTGCCTAGAGTGCTGCAACTGATAAGCCCCATAAAATGAAATGATGATTATGTCATTCTATTTCAGTACATGCATCTCTCAGGAGATGGCAAATTGGAGTAACTGTTCTGCAAAGCCAGCAGCAGCTGGGAGGAGAGAGGGAAGAGGAAATAAGTCTGTTAAATCCTGCTGTTCTTTCAGCAATGGCTCTACTGTACAAACTGGTCTTTTGGCAGACAAACCAAGCAGAGTCCTGGAAGGTATTAAAGCAGGACATTAGTTTTTAATAACACATACAGCAACTGCCTGAAACTAGCTTATTGCTTGCGTGCTTCTAAGTGACAACCTCTCCAAAGCTCTGCTTGCCACACTCGCCAGCCACTCCACGCTCTGGTGACACAAGCCTCAGATATCGCACGTTGTGGAACTGAAGTCATTTCATCAAGAGCGTCTGCCGAGCTGTTAAAAACTTTGGCTTTACTTCAGTTATCTACCTAACAAGCAGATGTTATCTGGGAACACTGTAGTCCTTTGATATTATATCTCAATTAAATCTTAAAATCGTTCTAAAATAGTATGGTCCTACCTGAACTGCAAAGTCATAACACCATACATCAGCTTGGATTTAACTAAAACAAGCCTCAACAGCACAGTTTTAACAAGATTTGGCCTCCAGCCCCAATGTTAGACTACATATGTACTTCTTAAGTTTAGATTTAATTCACACTGAAACCAAAACAAATTCTGGTCTTGCCAGGAACTTCTGAAAAGTCAAGATTAAGTCCTTTTCTAAGTCAAGATTAACTCCTTTTCTTCAATTTAGAAGATCCATGGCTTGCAGGAGGTCAAATGTTCCAGGAACAATGAAACGTTGTTTCCTAAACTAGTCCTAAAACTAGAATATTAAATTAAGGCTGGATTTGCATGCAGCCAAAAAAAAAAAAAAAAAAGGAACAAAAACACACAAGAGGACACAGCATCTGTCAGATATGCTGCATTTGCAAGGCTTGCATTTGAGACACGATTCTAAAATATATGCTGGCCAATTTTGTACGTGATGTGAGCTTGAGAAAGCTATACCTATCAGCATTGCATTTCACCGAGTCTACCAAATAAGTGAAAAGAAATACTTACGCCTTCTCTCTTGAATAGAGTCTTTATAAATTAGGCCTTCTCTCTATAACAGTCTTTATAAATTAAGGTTCATAGTGGGTAGAAGGAGGAAAGAGGAAGTCATCTCTTCTCACCTGTGATGTCCTCATGAAATACCCTTAGCTTTTTAGTACGGTTTTAGTGTTGTTATACTATGAAATTTAGCATTGTTATACTACGATATTTAGCATAAATCTGTACAGTACTCAAGCACCGCAGTTATTTACAAGCAACAATATTAACACACCTGCAGTTTGCTCATGGTGATTCATGATATTAGACCTTGCTGGGCTATCATTCTTCTTTATAAAAGTGCCAGCAGGTCAATTAAATTCAGACACGTGGGTTAAACATTCATGCTACATCCTGTCATTGCAACACTTGAGGACAAGGTATTTCCCTTTACATCCATGGATGTGTTTTTTTCCCCCTAAGTACATCCCGACAGACTAAATACTGAGACTGTCTTTAGCCTCGTCTCACTTCCTGGATTCCAGCCGCTGTTTCGACTTATCTCATACTGGAATGTGGTCTCTCCAGCCTTGCATCCTCCCCAAACATGAACAAGCAATGCTGTTTTAAGTGTATTAGAAGGGGTACCTGTCACATTACCCTGCATAGTCATCCTCTCTCTGCTAGATCACTGCACCACTGCCTCTGCCTGAGAGCACAGTTCAACAGAGAGCACAACTACCAAATGACGGGGACATTCACAAAAACTGCATGACTAAGAGCGGCTCATGAGTTAAAACACATTGAGATTAAGAGATCTCCCCGCTGACTTTCATTATCTCATTTGCGGCAAGTGATTAGAAACATGGCTAGTTTAATCTGCTCTCAGATGGAAGTCTCCATAAAAGCTCTTCTACGGCATGTGCCACCCTTATCCTGGAACGTGTCCGACACGGGCTTGGCTGCAGCCTGCAGGACTTACCTGTGTTTTGTATCCTCCATGTTTTTGTAAACTGGGTGTCGGGAGGGATGGACTCTCCTTCTCCTATGGTGACATCTTCCACAAAGGACATGGAGGGTACATTGATATTTGGGCTCTCAAAATCATAGTAGGCTCCAATGGCGGCTTGTAGATTCCTATTTAAGAAAAAAACAAACAAACAAATAAATAAATAAATAAATAATGCAACCTTAAGGACAGGTGGGTCAAGGTCCCCAGCACAACTTTATGTATTTTGCCCTAAACAGGTAAGCAAAAATGTTATTCATACTCTATTAGATCTGCTGCTCACATCTTCCTGAAATCTTTGTCTCTATTGCATGCGACTCCCCCAGAATTATTGAGCTCAACCCTGTCTTTTACTTCACAGGGACAGGATTTTGGATCACTTTCCTACTCAGCTTATTTTTACTGAAAATCTTCTAATTCAGTTTTTTAAAATCTTCTAATACCACTTTTTGAAGTTTGCCAAGAAGTTCAAGAGCCGTGGAGGGAACGGCCACGCAGCAGCATGTAAACAACAGGGCTGTTTCTTTAGACAGGCCTTGTTTCCTAGAGATAACTTATGTAAACTGGATCTTTTTGTTTTATTTTGGCACAAAAGGTCCGAGGAGCACAGGCTGAACACAACACAGAGAATACACTGAAGATAACCCTCAAGGCCGAAGGTGCATCAGGAGCTATGGATAAGAACCCTGGCTCTGCTGCTTTGGAACCATATGGTCATGTATGAGCTACAGGTTTTCTAGGACTATTTAGTAACCTGTAAGAGGCTGCGCAGCTAACAGGAAAAAAATCACAGCTTAAAATCACCTCAGCCAAGATTTTTTATTGAATAAAGATAAATGATGGTGGAAACCTGTGATATATTAAGTTATTCAGGGAGCTCCAAGTGCTATTGATTCCTGAGAGATGGGGTAGCTGAAACTCGTGAGAATTAATTTGAAAAGAAGAGCAGTCAAACAGGCAGCAGGTTCCTGAGCCTGAGCTGCTCTTCCACAATATACTATTAAATTATTATATAAGCACTTGGCAAGTCCTACAGTTCCTCTGTTCACGCCTGGCTGCGAGATGTGGTCCTAAATTTACATGTTGTGAGTAGGTGCTGCGAGGAGAGAGGTGAATAAAATCTCACCAGAGGCAATAGGTTGAACTGCTGGGTCTTATTCTTGACCACAAATAGTTATGCTCCCCTTTTGAGCAAAATGGGGAAGAAGAAAAGATCAAGAAAACCCAGAGGACTGAAAGAAAGCCACGTAAAAGACCAGGCAAAAGCGGCACGACAGGGGTAAGAGGATTTATGGAGGGTTGCTATTGTTTGGTGAAGTGTCCTGTATCTAAACTGCAGCCAAAAACGCCAAGGTGAAGCAAGAGAAACATTTGCAGCGTGACCCTGAGAAAGAACAAACATAGGGCTTTTTGGATAGCTTGCCAGCTGGAAAGGGGCTTGGAACTGAGCAAACCAACTGCCTCCTGCTCAATTCCTACCGTGTTCAGGGGAGAATTAAAAAATCAGACATATCCTGCATAAAATCAGAACTGCCTCAGAGAAATACCACAGATTTCTCCTCATAGGAAACACTGGAGACCCAAGGAGGAGGGAGGGACACAGGTGATCGGGTCGGAGCAGGTGACGGCACCATGGGGCAGAGCCAAGAGGCACCCAGGGTGGCAGGAGAGCCCCAATCAGCAGGACGGGTCCCCTAACCCATGGCCGGGAGACGACTGCGCTGCAGGGACCACGGGAGCCACCAACATCCCGCCGAGTGTCCCCAGGGAGACCCCGAGCACGAGACGGCACTGGAGGAACGTGCTGCCCCGCACGGCCGCCGAACCCAGCGCTGCCGGATTCACACGAGACCTCTGCCGTTATCACGGAACGGACTTTGAGCCCGGGACGAAGCCAAGAGCCACCACGTGAGATTTTTACCTTTAGAACAATAAACTGCAGCCGAGCAGACGTTATTCACCTCTAGGCATTTTCGAGGAGTGTCAGGGCTATATTTAATACAGCCAGCTCAGGCAAACGCTACAGGAAGGGTGCGTGTCACATTAGCCAATAAATAGAGACAAATGCTCAGTTTTACGTCACCAGCCGCCTGTTGCTTATACCCGGCACAAGATTTACATAACTCCCCCAGGGGCCGCGCCAGGAGGCTCCTGTTCACTCGACCGGTCACCCTACGCTCCGGAGGTCAAGTTTGCACTAAAATTTCATGCCTCCATTGCGGCAATCAGGCAACAAAAGCCGCAGCCCTGCGCTCTCCTCATGCTCCGCCACGCAAATCCGCATGTCGTCCCGCGTGCCACGATGCCGGCATCGGCTGTAATGATATTTTATTTATACTATGGAAAAAGAAGACATCAAATTGCAGGGGGACGATTCGCACAGTGCCTCCTCGCAAGGCGGCCTCGGTGCTTTCCTGTTTGCTTGCCTGGGAAGATGCCTCCAAAGGTAGTGAGTGGGCTATTTGTGCTCACAGGCCCGCTGCCAGCTGCCCTCCCCTCCCTGTGTCGTATTTCAGGGCTTGCTTTGTCACGGGGAAACAGCTCCAGGCCGCGGCAGCGTTTAGCTAGGAACTAACTACAGGAGAGTCCCTGCTGCAAAGCAGGTTTGCACCTCTGGGGATCCAAACCCTCCCGCTCGCACCCTTGGGGGGAACGGCAGGTTCAGGTGGAGCATGGGGGAGCCCCTGCTGTTTGTGTGGGCCCATCCCGGCCTCCCCACTAGCGATCGATGAGGAAGCTTCCAGAAGCTAAAGGGAAATTGAAAGCGGCCAGGGCCGGAGTCAGGATGACGAAGCAGATCCGAAGTTCGGGTGGTGCAGAGATAGCGGCGGGAGCGGCGCCCTGCGCTCGCCACGGCGCCGCGGAGCCGCTCGCCCCACGGGCACCGAGCCCCCCGTCCGGGACACGCTGCCCCTGTCCCACCTGCCCGGGCAGCGGTTTGAAGGCAGCCCCCACTTTGGAAAAGCCAGCAGCATTTTCAGAGGGTTGCACAAGCAAGCGTTCTGCACCACGAGTAGCTGAAGCTGCTTGTGGCAGCTGGTACAAAATGCACCCACAGACTTCTTAGTTCGGGAGTTTACAACCAAACGCAAGCCTTGGTGAGAAAGCAGGTCTTTTCAGGGTCAAAAGCACTCAAGTCACTGAAATTTGCTTTTATTTTAAGGTCTTCACTGTCATGCCCCACTTACAATTGCCTCCCACCAGCTGCCTGTACTTCGGGGACAGGTATGAGAAGCTGAACCTGATAAGAAGGGCTTATCATGCAAAAGCTTCTGCTTCCCCGAGCCTGCCTTGCAGGTAGGGCTCGCGCCACATTAGGGCAGCCCCGTCGGAGCCGTTTCAGTTGGCTGCCGAGGCAGTGTTAAACCCCTCCTAGGGCCTTGCTGATCTGATCAGCCGGCTCTCGGGGCTTCGCCTGCTCTCTGCCGCATACAGTAAATTACTGCTCCACGCGGAGCGGCTTTGGACGCGGGCGGTGAGCGCGGTAACGTGCGTGCCTGAGTCGTCCTAATCACAGGCACGGCCACAGCGCGGCCGCAGCAGAGCCCGTCAGGTGCCAGGCCCTGCTCACCTTGCCCAAACGAAGCAACTTTTCTCCATTTTTACAGCAGGGCCGGCCTGCGATGCTCTGTGGCTCAACGCGACTCACGGGGCAGGTCTGACAGGCTTTGCCCTCACACTGCTGCAGAAAGGCAGGCAATGTGAACTGCCACTGTGACCATGTAGGCCTGGTTCAACCAAAACAACATTCAGGTTCTACCAAAACAACACTCAGTCCCAGCCGTAAGAGCCGTGTTTCAGGAAAGGGGCTGGGGAGATAGCAGATAAACACTGCGGCTCCGCAGTATCGACCGGAGCCCTCCTATCCACCCATAGCCATATCATCCTTTCCAAGAGCTGCACAGCTTCTTACCAAGTGTTTCTCCAACAAAATGCTACTCACAGACCAGGGCTTTTTTTTTTAATCTATACTTTTGCTCTGCTGCTCTGTTCCAATCCCCAGGAGCTAAATTACAAAAGTGAAGTTAAACTTCTCTGCTAATAGCTCTGGAGATGTCCCTTAACAACGCTTAAGTGTTTGCAAAGAGGTGGTTTATCTTGAGCCATTCTTTCCCTTCCAGTTTATTTTCCAGACAGTCTTTTGTTATATTAAACTAATATATAGATGGTAATTACTCCCAATTAAGTAGGTCACCATGCAATATCGAGAAGTGAAAGAAACTCCCAAATCTAGCCACAATCTAGAACCCACTTACTTCAATCTAACAGTTGTGAAAACTTGTGCGAGAAAAGAGAAAAGTCACCGGACCCGACCCGTGGGATCTGCAAGCTCGGAGTGACTGCAAACAAACAGTTCTGCTATTAACTGAATCCAATTCCTTGTTAGGAGAGTGACGAAACCAAGGCCCAGCTCAGGCTTAGTGCAGGCAGGGCGCACACACAGTGCCTAATCCCTCCAGAGCCAGTAAAACACAGGGCTCTTCCCACACCTCCACCGTTGCTCCACGCGACGCGGGCGCCTCGGAAGGACAGCAGCAGCAATGGGCATTTTTAACACACACGAGATAGGGGGCTCTTGTCAAACAAGTACTCTCCAAACAGAAGCTAATGGGGAGCATCGCGAGCTGCCCCGCGGCACGGCCTCCCCACGGCACCTCTTGCACCCGCCGCGCACAGGGCCCTGTTTGGGTTTCGTTTGCGCTCCAGCCGCCCCAAGATCTGAGCCACAGGAGGAATAAAAATCCCCTACGTCAAGGCCAACTTGCAAAGACAGTTCTCTAAGTGCATTTTTGCAGGATGTAAGAATTCTCAAAAAAATAACATTCACAGTGTAAAACAATTATTACAAGTTTCATTAGAAATGTTACTGGAAGCTTGTAATTTTTCATTTGTTGACAAATTCTTTGCTAATTTCCGATGAAAACCCTCCAAAAATCCAAACTGAAGGGGCTGTTTGTCTCATTAGCTCCTCCCTGTTCCTACAGCCACTATCACCCACCGCTAGCTGAAGTGGGTGAGAGTTGGTACTGATCTTCTCTTCCCGACCTACCAGGGAAAAAAAACAGGCTCCGCTCTTCCCTGAAATTCCATTTGGCCACACGCAACTCATGGACATTTTACACGGGATTTAGCCTTTAAGCCGTACACACACAGTAAGCTGAGGATGTCTAAGTCAAGTAGAAAACACTGACAAATTAATAAAGCGAATGCCAGGTTACATTCTCTCCTCCCGTGGCTTTGCACTGCTCTCACTTTGAAGACAGGCAAGGGTCCAACGCGCAATGAGTACTGTATGTTCTGGGTCCTCACATATGGCAGAGTATTTGAAGGCAAATCACCACTCAGGTGATATCCTTCAGCCAGGATGCAACGCACAAAACATGCAGTAATAGCAGAGAACAGCGAAATCTCAGGAATATTTTACATAGAACGTTCTATTTCTATAGAATGTAAGAACAGAAGTTATGTAGAACTTGTGCATTTTCTGTCACTGAATCCTCAGTCCCCACCATTTGCCCCCTGTTACATTCTCCAAATCCAGGATGTAACCAGGCTCCTTAATACTGCATAAAGCGGCTACTGCTAAGAACAGAGAAAAAGATGCAAGAGGAGAAAGTGCAGCAGATGGATGAATTCTCACTCCTGAAACGAAAAAATGGAACATCACTACACGATACAGGTGGGAACGGCTAAAACTGTATATGGGGCACGTCCAAACGAGTCAGCCCCCAGCACACTCTTTATTCTGCCCCAACATGTTCCATGTCCAGTATCACCTTTGGATTTTATTTGCCTCAGCTCTTGGGGACCTTGAATGACCAGAGTTTGGCCAGGAGATCTCCAACAGGTATCACGTTGCTTCTCAAGCAGGAGACACCTCTGTCTTGGAGGAGGCTGAAGATGAGCACGGCGGGAAGGAAGAACACGTAGGACACGCACTCACTGCTCCACAGGGAAGCTCGCTCACCTGGAGTTTTAATGCAAACATTTTCAGTAGTGGCAATTAAATGGAAAGTCTCAAGATGCTTTGAAGGACTGGAAATTTTAATCAGCGAGTAGCTTTCAACAGATACCCTTTCTGAAAGCCGAAGTCATATAACAGGTATCTTCATTCTTGGCCTCTCTTACATAAAATCATGAGTTTCAGGAACTGCCTTCACCAAAAGGCCACTGAGGGAAGTCAGAAGCTGTAAACTAAATTACACAGCTGAAGGAGAAAAGGGAAACACCTGGTTAATTTGAAGCCCACACATTCTCTTTACACTAAGCCACAAAATACATTTCGACAGCCATGTTGCAAACAGCCAGGTCCAAAATCCAAAGGGGATATTCCAGGACAAACACAAACCCCTGCAGCAATGAGAAGCAGTATCATACTCTGAGCAGTGACAAGGCAGGGAGAGGGTGCACTGTTCTCGTAGCACTGCACCCTCAGCCACCACAGAGCATCGCTCTCCTTGCAGGGGTTTCGTGCAACCGAAGCGCTGTCCAGGCCCCGGGCCTGCAAAAGACTCGAGTAACTACCACTTCTTCAGCATAAACTATAGCACCAATCTGTAACTGCCAGCATTAGAGGGGGATTTAAGCCACAGAAACGGTCCTAGAACAAGCTCAGGCATGCGAGGCAGTCCCACCAGACTAAAATTATAGTGTACCAATTCCTCCCGTTACAGTCGTCTGTCGGCGCTTCCATATCAGGTGCCCCCAACTTTGAGAAGTTCTGCAACTCGGGAACACAGCATAATTTA